GTCATATGAAACCTAAGGTCACACTGACCCAAAGGGGTCAATTGAAGGCATAGAAACTTAGAAAAGCAGCATGTTAACGGTTTATTAATAGTTTTTATTTGATTTGATAGATCACTATTGAAGTAGAAAAATTTGAGTTATAAAGAAGAAGGATACCTTTGTTTTTATAAGGTCATTGTGATGTGAAAAAAAATTTATACATCCTTTAATTTAGAGAACTCATTTTGGTGAAAAACATAAATACCCGTAAATATGGAACCTTGACATACTGAATGTTTAAAGCTGAGTGAATTTGAAAAACAGCACATGGAGGAAGGGCCCTCTGACCTTTTCTCTACAGCAAGTTATGAATGTTGGATACATGTTGAGAAAACAAACTTTTTCCTCTTTTTTTGCTATGGAATGTATCTCCTTTTTGGAAAGTTCTCCTTGATCAGTTAGATGCATAGCACATTTGTTTGAACTCTACGGTAGTAATTATTGAAGCAAACCTGTTCTTACAATAAAGGTTAATGACTCTCCCCAGCATTTTTTCTAGTAATTTCCATGTTACTTGATGTTTAGTGTAAATTAAATGAGATCTTAACAAAGTTATTTTATTTCCTCAGAGTCTAAGAGCTGAAAGTACATATTCCCCTCCTTCAGTGTTGGCCAGGGTTCAAATCCTTTACCACGTTTATTTGAATGGGATATATGAATTACATGTTCAATGAGGTGATGGCTAGAAATGTGACATTTTACTTATTGCCCCCAATTAACAACATACATATCCCGAATGCTAATCCCAACCATAAAGACACTTTATGAGTTAATCTAATAAGCTACCTAAGTGTGTACTCTTAGCAGACTAATCGTTCGTATCCAAAGCAAAGACTTCCCAGATTGGAATTCTTTTTTTCCCAGGTTGGAATTTTTAATCTTAATTAAATGGTCTTACTTGGCTATCACGAAGTGAACAGATGATAATTCAGCATTATTCAAAATCAAATGAGTTTCCTAAACACATTAGAAGTCAGTGACAGGTTATTGTATAACGTTTCTTGGAAGGCTATTTTGTCAGTTCAAGAATAGATGGGAGCCCTATACTATAAATGGTGAGTTTGCACTCACCAGCTAACTGAATTTGAACACCATTTTTCTTAATGATGGGTGTGGATGGGATTGCAGCCAGGGACTCATGATAACCTCAAACATCCCAGGAATGTAGCATGACTCTTCCCAAAGACAAGGCTAGCAGAGAGCATTACACTCGGGCTGAGGATTCCTCATAGTTTTCATGGTCTTTATTTTTCCCCAGGGCCTATGAAATGAAAGGTTCATATGATTCTATTTTCAAGGGTTTCATTTTGGCTCATTTCTGGGAACTCCCTGGTATAATAATAATGGCTTCTTTCCAAAAAGTATTGATGCTAAGTTTACAATATCTTAGAACAGGAAGCTATTTATATGACATCTCTTACATTATAAAAACTGCCTGTTCAACTTAACTGCTCCTATGTTGTCTATATTTGGGAAAAGTTTTGAAACACTAGAAAAAAATTTTTAAAAAGATACAAATTTCAGAATGTGTAGGGCCCAAAAAAATTCCACAAAAAACCCGAATTTGAATTCCGTTTCCAACACCAACTAGTTATTTTATTCTTGATAATTTTTCTACCTTTAATTTTCAATATTAAAATTAAAGACTAATAAAACATTTAGTAGTTGCTGAAAGGATTTAATAATTAAAGTTTGTAAAAAACACCTGCATTCTTTGGTTACAAAATATTCAATAATACTTGGTTCCTAATTTCTGTGCTATCAATATTTGTAAATGCATATTCTATTAATCTATAACTATATTTTTTAATCTTTGACTAGTATATTTTACAGATTAAATCATTTCACATTTCCAAAAAAAATCATATAGAAAAGCATTTAAAGTAATTTTACTATTTTGTTAATATTTTTAGTTCTAGGGTTGATGCTATAAGGAACTGTAGGAATGTTACAATTGTAGCTACAAATGTAGGGATTGTCGGAATTCCATGCTAAGGAATCTAGACTCTGCAGTGTAGACAATGGGAAGCCATAGGAGGATTTTTACCATGGAGAGAAACTTTATTCTCAACTAATATTTGAATGCCTATTATTCTCAGGCACTAATCCTATTTGTAACTTAGAATGATCTGATAGCAATATAGAAGAGAAACCAGGAATGGTTTTATATTGGACATTTGTGAATAAGTGCTAGAGATAATGAGAAAGATTAGTAAAAAACTTTGAAACTTAGATTCTTCCTGTTTCCGAGAGTATCTGAGCTTAAAATGAGAGGCAGCTTCTGTGCATTAATCCACTGCCTACTCCCACAGAAGCCTCCCATGCTGCCCCGGCAACAGCTTGTCATCCATTTGGCAGAAATTTTACCCTTTGAGAACAACCAAATTCCAAGTTGTGGAGGTGTTTTTTAAAATGGGAACTTTGGCTTTATTTCCCCTCCCCACCCCCCATATGCTTGAGAGTGAAAAGAAATTCTCTCTTTAAAGGTAAAGGATTTAATGAGGGTAAATTTTAGATTTTGATCAGTTATATTTTTAAAATTAAGCATTCGGAGTAGATTGACTTGTAACCGCTTTACAACAGAGATATACTGCATACTGAATTCAAGCAGAAAAATGCTTTCATGGGCCTGGCAACACATTTCCTCTCAGGGAATGGTCTTGAAATTCCATCCCTTGTTGTGTAATTCTTAATTTTTTTGATAACAAAAACTATTTTTGATAACAAAAATTATTTTCACTTTTTCACACTTAACGAAGCAAAGAAGCAAATAAAAGTGTAATAGGATGGCTTGGAACAAATTTTAAAATCTTGGAAAACAGATAAACTGGTCATTAATTTTTCTCCACCAGTAGACCAGGCTCAAGTTTAGCTTCCACATAAGCCCTGCAATTCTAACCTCTGAACTGAGTGTAGTTTTATATATTGGCTTTCATTGGCTAAGTCATGTCTAATTTACTAAGTGTATTCACTTTGATGCTACTAAATAATTAATCATGAGTTCTCTGAATATAGACTATTGATTTTAAAATCCCAGTCACGTGATGTTATTATTTTGAAGGAAAACTAAAAGTGTATTACACGAATCTTAGTCATTTACTTTCACGAAGAATCACAAGTACGTTCAAATGCCTATGATTGTCATATACTTTATCAATGAAGCTTTTGTAACAATGTGGCAATGAGACCAAGAACACTGACAATTAAATTTAAGAATCATTAAATATTAATATAACCCTTTGGAAATTTAATCATTACACATATGTATACACACACACATTTATTGACTGCAATTTGATTCTCTCTCATGTCATTTTATTGAGAGATAAAAAAGTTTATCTGCCAGTTGATGAGTCAGTCACAATAACTTTCTTTTGAAATTTTAAAGGAGAAAACTGAATTCTGAGAAGTCATTTTTATTAAGGTCACACTCTGGATAGGGGAAGCCAGAAGACTAATCTGTTTGCTTAATTCTTCTGCATATATTTACTCTAGCATGCTCTTTGCCTTGACATTGACAATCAGATTGAGCTCTTCCCTCATAAGACACTGTTTTAACAGATAGCCAACTATGTAAACAACCTTATGCTTGAAAGACATGACAAGTTTAATAGTTTCATGGGAACTTTGATGGAACTGACTTGATCTATCTGGAACCCATCTGGGAAAATTCCAATAAGGAATAGAAACTTTCAGGACAGAGAAGGAAAAACAGCACGACAGCAGGAGGAAGCAGTACATGGAAAAGCTTTGAAATCTAAGAGACCATCCCAGTCAGGATAACAAAGAGGTGCAGGTGAGAAGAACTGAGAGAAGAGGATGCAGGAAGCTTTGAAGTCTCCTGCATCATGTTAAGGAATTTAGACTCTGCCATATAGACAAATGGGAAGCCATAGGAGTGTTTTCACCATGGGAGGAAACTTCATTTACTCAAGCAATATTTAAATACCTATTATACTCAGGCAGTAATTCTATTTGTAACTTAGAATGATCTAAAGCAATGTAGAAGACAGACCAGCAATAGAAAAGACTGGAGGTTATTTCAAAACGTTCAAGAAAAATGACGAGATGGTTAAGGTAATGATTAAAGTGAGGGGAAGCTATTGTGAAAGAGTAAAATAATAGCATTATTGTCTTAGCTTTTTTTTCTCCTTTCTCTAGCTGCCAAGTCTCCCAATATTTTCACATATTAGCAGATCTCTAAGGTTTAAACAAGTTTGTCTTAGACACAGTTATTACCATCTGGCTTTTTGCAGTAATTTCTATTTTACTACCAAACCTGGGATAATGTCTCAAGTGGAAGTCAAGTTAGGAACAAACGAAAATCACCAGTATGATCCCTCCTGTTTTCTATTTATTGCCCATGATTACTAAGTTCTGCTTTAAACACAGTAAAATCCTTTCCAATTAGCTTAAGCCACTCAGGAGCAACACAATGTGTTTGAGTCCTAGTCCTTTTATATGAAAATTCTTTAAGGAGTGAGGAGAGTGTGTGTCTACTTTCCCAAGCATCTTTTGCTACTAACACTTTGATTAATACTTATCGTTCTTCCCTGTTGTTCTCATCATATGCTAGTTATTGAATATAAGTTTAGAAGCATTTTGTGATGAGAAGGATAGAAATAAGGAGATGGTTCAAAGTTGCCCAAGCAATTGAATTTTATCCTACAGTTAGTGTGTGTGTGTGTGTGTGTGTGTGTGTGTATGTGTGTGTATCCAGAATTTGTTTAGAAATCATTATATTTCCTAGGGCCAGGGGTTAGTTTTTTTAGAGCAATTTTAAGTTCACAGCAAAACTGAACTGCACATAACAGAAATTTCCCATATATCCCTGCTTCCACACATGCAGTCTCCCTCCCCTATTATTAATCTCCCCTACCAGAGTGGTACATTTGTTATAATTGTTGAACCTACATTGACAGATAATCCTCATCTACAGCCGATAGTTTATACTCTTTCTTTAAAATATGGAATTCGTAATGAATTTGCCAGTCATTCTTGTGCGTGGGCTGTGCTAATCTTTTCTGTATCATCTAATTTTATTATATGTGCAGCCATAGCTATTGCACCATTGATATTTTTACTGTCTTTATAGTTTTTAATTTTCCAGAATGTTGTATACTTGGAATCACAAAGCATGTAGTCTTTTCAGATGGGCTTTTCTTCATTTAGTAATATGCATATACATGCTTCCACGTTGTCTTCATGACCTGATAACTAATTTCCTTTTGCTTTGAACAATATTTCATTTTATCAATGTGTCACATTTTGTCTGCTCAACTCTTGAAGGACATCTCACTTGCTTCCAAGCTTGGGCAATTATGAATAAAACTGCTATAAACATGCATGTGTAGGGTTTTGTGTCAACAGAACTGCTGAAGTCTTTGTAAACCAGAATTCTGCAAAAAGAAAGAACCTATAGGAGATAAATAGGGGATTTATTAGAGCAACTGGTTCATACAGTTATAAAATCTGAAAAGTCCCATGATAGATCAGGTATCCGAAAGATAGAGAGCCAGAGAAGTCAGTAGCATGGTTCAGTCCAAGTGTGAAGACCTAAGAACTAGGGGACCTCTCAGAGCAAGGTCAAAGACCTAAAAAACTAAGGGAGGATAGGTGCAAGTCCCTGAATACTAAGGGATGAGAACCTGGAGAAGGGCATCTAGCTCCAGAAAAGAGAGAAAATTCACCTTTCTTCTGCCATTTGTTCTATCTGGGTGCTCAGCCAACCGGATGGTCGTGACCATAATGGGTGAGAGCAGATAGTCCTCATTCATACTGCTGATTCAATTGCCAGTCTCTTCCAGAAATATCCTTACAGACATACTCAGAAATCATACTTTACCAGTGCCATAGTTTGTATCTAGAATGTGTCTCAAAGGCCCATATGTTAAATAAAGACTTTGTCTCATACTCTTGGGAGGTAGTGGAACTTGAAATGTATGCCTACTGGGAGGCACTGGGGGTGTGCCCTTGAAGGCAATAGTGGGAATCCAGTCCCTTTCCTATTTTTCTCTTTTGCTTCCCAGCCATTATAGGAGAGCAGCATTCTCCTTCACATTCTTCTGCCATGATGCACTGCCTCACCACCACAGCCCCAAACAACAGGTCAACTGACTATGGACTGAACGCTCCAAAGCTGTGAAAAAACAAAACAAAAACCTTGACATTGTTCTAAATTGATTAACTCATTTGTTTTTAAATGACTAGTGTAAAGGCAAGTAACACATCTAGTTATCTGGGCATAGTGATTTCTTGCTGTTTTAACATGCATTTGCCTGATGGCATATGTGGAACAACTTTCATATGCTCAGTGAAGGCATTAACCTCACACATGTGGAAGAATCCCACTTGGCCTAATCATCTCTTAAAGATTCTGTCTCCCATATCATAGCATTAGCAATTAAATTTCACCATGAGTTTTGTAGAAGACATTCAATCCATAACACACTATTTTTCTGCCTTTTGTAGTTCTAGGTGTCATTTTTATTTATAAATTTCAAGAATTTTAATTTAATTTTTTAATTTATTTTGATTTCTTTGATAATAAGTTGGTCATTGGGAGAATGTTATTTAATTTCCATGTATTCATAGAATTTTTAGAATTTCTTTTGTTGATTTCTAGTTTTATTCTGTTGTGATCAAAGAATACACATGCCATAATTTCAATTATTTTTTTTTTATTTGTCAAGACTTGTTTTGTAGTCTAACATATGGTCTACCCTGGAGAATGTTCCATGTGCTGATGAGAAGAGTATGTCTTTTTCAGTAGTTGGGTGGAATGTTCTGTAAATATCTGTTAGGTCCATTTGGCCTATAGAATAGTTTAACTTCAAGATTTCTTTATTGATTTTTTTTTAATCTGGATACACTTTCAATTGATGAAAATTGGTGTTAGAGTCAATGTCTCCTTTTAGATATAATAGTTTCTTGTTTTATTCTTGGACGTACCAGTGTTGTGTACATATCTATTTATAATAGTTATTTAATGACCTTCATTGGTTCTTTTTACACATTTTTATTTAAAGTGTGTTATTTGATATAAATAGGGCTATTCCTATTCACAATTGCTTTTCATTTGCATGGTCATTTCTTTTTCTATCTTTTCATTTTCTGTGTATGTGTGTCTTCATTGTTGAAGTGAGTTTCTCATAGGTAGCATATTATCAGGTTTAACTTCTTTTTAACCATTCAATGAGTCTCTATCTTTTAATTGGGGAATTAAATACATTTATTTTCAAGGCTATTAATGATAAGTCATACTCCTGTCATTCTGTTATATTTTTTTTCTGGTTGTTTTAAATATCCTTTTTCCTTTATCTCTTTATCTTTTACATCTTTGTGATTTGGTGTTTTTTTTATATCCATAAGGTTTGATTCTATTTTTTTTTTCTCTTTTGTGTGTCTGCTCTATTATTGGGTTTTATGCTTTCATGTATTTTCATAAAGTAGTTATTGATTTTTCACTTTTACTATAGGACCCCTTTTAGTAATTCTGTATGGCCAGTCTGATGGTGAAATTGCTTCAGCTTTTGTTTTGATAAGTCTTCATTTCACCTTAATTTCTGAAGGATAGCTTTTCTGGGTATCGTATTCTTGATTTACATTTTTTTTCCTTAAAGGATCATGAATATATCATCCCATTTTTTTTTCTTGGCCTATAAGATTTCTGCACAGAAGTCTAATGGGGCTTCCTTCATGACTTGTTTTCTCTTGTTTTTAGAATTCTGTCTTTGTCTTATACTTTTGACAGTTTCACTATAATATGCCTCAAAGATAATTCTTGAGGTTTTTCTTTGGTTGAATCTATTTGGGGTCACTTGAACTTGATGGACTTGTATGTCCAACAGCACCTGTTTCATTGGATTGGTTTTCTTTTTGCTTGCTTAATGGTGTCTTATATGTCTCTAAACATGTCTTCATTCTTTTAAATACTTTTTCTTTATTTATTTAATCTCTGGGTTATTTATGTTATCAAGTTTAGAAATTCTTTATTCTGATCAATTTTGCTGTTGAGGTTCTCAACTATTTTCTACTTTATTTGCTGAAACGTTAGTTTCAAATTTCTGATTGGTTCTTTTTCATGATCTCTAATAATTTTGCTGAAATTCTAATTGATGGCATGAATTGTCTTCCAAATTTTATTGAAATACCTGTTTATATTCTCTTGTATCTTGTTAAGTATTTTTAAAAAATCATTCTTTTGTGTTCTTTGTCAGGAAATTTCTTAATTTTCTTTGTGGTTCACTGTTAGAGAGTTATTGTGTTTCTTAGGACTTATGTAATTTTTTTTTCCTTTTTTCTTCTTGTGTCCCTAACATTGGTGTTTATGCTGCCTCTGGTGGCATAAATTACTCCTACTAATTTTATATGGTGGCTTTAATAGTAAAAGACGTTCTTCTGACAATGTTGCCTTTTTGTTTACCATCAGTACATGAGTGCAGGGTAAAAGGAAATGCTGTAAGAATTTAGTAACATGGTGGAGGGTGAGGGGAAGGCAGGTGTTCTACAGACTTATGATTAGGTCTCATTGAGCCTCTTTCATTGAGCCTTGATCTTCCAACTGTGACCCTCACAAATTTTTCTCCATCCTCTTCCCTTTCTCTTGGTGAGGTGGATGGCTAGAGTCAGTGGAAGTTGAAGCTAGGGGAGCTGGAGTGGGTATTTCACTTAGTGAAGCTTTGGTTGCCAACAGCTTCCTCAATGGGCAGACCTTACTGAGTAGAACAGAATGCTCAGGCATATTTTAAGATGCTTCCTTTTCCCCTCCTCTGTTGAAAGAATAAAGGGATTTTTTTTCTCTGTTATTCATTGAAAGGACCTGGGTGAGCTCCATCAAGTTAAACGCACAAAATTGTGTAGACCGCCATGATGACAGAGTCCCTTTGGAGTTTTTGTTTGTTAGACTAGTCCCCACTGGGATTCCAGCAATTTGTTAATTACAGATCAGGTTTTCTACTGGTTTCCATAGAGCTTTTTTGCTCTGGTAAGTTGTGATTCTTTATATTTATCTGTTGTCTCTCTGATTCAGGGGTCAGAGTTGCCCTGTGATCTCACTTCTCTTGTTGATTTGAGAAGAGTTGTTGGTGTTTCAGTTTATTTAGGATGAAGTGGCATCTTCTAAGCTCCTTATATACTGCTAACCCAGAACTAGAAACTTCTGACAAGAGATCCCCCCCAAATTAATTTATTAAGCAATGTCTTAGGAGAAAGGAATTATAGTATCTGCATGATTCAGTACTATTTGACACTCCCAAGCCTTTTCAAATTCATGATTATTTGAGAAGGGCATGATCACATCATGAACTATACCCCTTTCATTCTTTTTTCTTTTTTTTTTACTGACTCTCCTATATGTATTATTTCTCCACTATTCTCTGGAAACCCATCCAGTGCAATCATGGAAAAGGAAATTAGGTGTAGATTTATCCT